GGGGAATTATACAGCTAGAGGCTCCTATCTGCTGAGCTGAGCTGGGTCCACTGACTCCTGTGGTGGTGGTTGTTATGATGTTGATTGTAAGGGTTGTAGTTAGGATACAGAGGATTGTAGTGGTGGTGGGTTATAATGATGGTTGTTATAGTAATGGTTACATAGTTATCCCGCGACTTAGTTTCATAACAATTATTTTCTTGCCCTCTATACATACTGTACACACATGCATACATATATACATACACTCACTCGTTAATACCAAATACACGTACCTAAATACGTACCCTCACGCTTCCTACCTCCCCCTTCCTCTTCCCTCCCCCCACAATGGTCTTTGTGAAAGGGATTCACCATGACGTCATCAAGGTCGGTCAATAAGAGCAATCAGGATGGGGGGTTAAGAAGAGTCGTGTGTGTGTTACGAGCAGGATGTTACACCTGTCATTTAATTGTTACGTATCGACACCTGTGTGACCTTGAGACGTCTAGACCATGACACCCTCCATCCTGACAGACTGACACCCTCCCCCTGACACCCTCTCTCCTTGTTCCATCTCGGGTCCTTAGAGATCCTACGGTGTCAAGTAACACGTCCTAACAAGTATGTGTAGGAATATATCTCAATGAAGTGGTGTCGTGCAGAAGGTCAAACTGAGTGACTGTAGCTAAGAGACCCCTGGTTGAAGCATTCACACACACACACACACACACACACACACACACACACACACACACACACACACACACCTATAATCAGAAGACACAGCAGGTAAAGACCCCTCCCCCACGCACCAAGCGCCGCACCCATCAACACGCACCCTGAATCAAAATACACACGGTAACACACTATCCAGGCCTCTTATTGAATTTTCTCCAGGTACAGTTATTTCGCTTCTTACCTGACTGCTATTACACCTGTGACTCCTGCAGCCTTCTACGGTAAGGGTTGTTATTATTACCTCCGGGCGGCGTCTGGTGGGGATTAGCAGGATGGTTCTTGTGGGATTATGTCAGTAGCTGTGTTGGTGGTGCGTGAGGTGACTGTGTGCTTGCGTTCATTTCACACACACACACACACACACACACACACACACACACACACACACACACACACACACACACACCACACACACACACACACACACACACTCCCTCTCAACTATTTCACTACCTCTCATATTTTCCTACTCCCCCTCCCTCCCACACACTCTCACACCTCCCTTCCACTCACACCTCTATTTCCCTCTTCCATTCAACCACCTCCCACACACTCCTACCTCCCTCACCATAGTCTCAGGTAGAGGCACAGGTGTGTTGAACAGATGATTCACCACACACCTGTCGTCTACGGGTCACATGTTCTGTGAAATATCTGTGTTGTGTGTGAGTGTGGTGCACATGTTTAGTTTCGTTCCGTGAGTGTGCGTGGTGATTGGTGTACATGGATAATAGTATACATGTACACGTGGATACTGTAATTCTTTGTATCGTGTGTGTGTGTGTGTCTGTCGTGGTTGTGTATACGTGTGACTGTGCTATCCTGGGGTGGTTAGTGTCGTAAGCCTGTGATAAACACCATTAATCATCGCCCTGGAAACATTATTATGGTCTTACATCAACTTTCCATCCATCTTTGTGTTTACTGAACGAACACTCTCCACCTTTACCTGGCGAACACAATTCCCAGCGACTCGTTACCTTCCTACCGTGACCTGTAAGTCCTAAAGCATTATAGTACCGTGAGAAATATACCGCGTGGGATTTTAGTAGTGATGGTGGTTGTGAAATGAGGATGATATTGATAATTGTACATGAAACCCTTCCCCTCCCTTCCCCTCCCTTCCTCCCTTCCCTCCCTTCCTCCTTCTTCCCCATCCTCTCTCCTCCCAGCAAGCACCGTGATCTATTATAATGTGTTTGAAGAGGGAGGAGAGAAGAGGGTGAGAGAGGCATTGAGTCTCCCTTCCCTCCCTCCCTTCTGTCCGTCCGTCCGTCCGTCTGTCTGTCCGCTCCCCATGAACTCCCTCCCCGTCCCTGGAGAGAGAGAGAGAGAGAGAGAGAGAGAGAGAGAGAGAGAGAGAGAGAGAGAGAGAAAAAAATTGTGTATTATTGTCGTGTACTAAAGGGGTGGTAAGCAGTGTGGTGAGGAAGGAACAATTGACGGTCGCCATGATCATTTATCTGAAAGGAAGAAAAGGAAGGGTTACATCGACCAGCCCCTTCCTTCTTCCTCCCTTACCCTTATCATCCCCTCTCCTCTTCCTTCCCTTCCTGTCTTTTCTTCCTTCTTCCTCCCTTCCTCTTATGCTTCCCCTTCCTCCTCTTCCCTGCTCCCCCTTACCCTCTGGCTCTATATTGTGTGTACACTGTCTCGCCGGATAGAAAAAGGACTTCTTACCACAGAAGGGGGTGTTGACACTGCAGGAGGGGGGGGTGTTGACACTGCAGAGGCGGGGCATAGTGGGTGCTGACAAAGGCACGTGGAGGAGGAGGGGAGTAGAAATATCTGGAAGGTGAGGGAGAGAGTTCTTGGTGTGGAGAATTGGTGGTGGGGGAAGGTAGGGAGGGGGGGTATACGTGCCTCTGTTGCTTGTTAGGTAGACGTTTATTACCTGGAGAAGTTGTTTGGTAATTAATTTTGTCTACCTTTTTCATTTTTTCTGTCTGTCTGTCTGTCTGTCTATCTGCTTGTCTGTTGTCTGTCTGTAGCTGTCTGTCTATCTGGTTGTCTGTATCTGTCTGTCTATCTGGTTGTCTGTCTGTCTGTCTGTATCTGTCTGTCTATCTGGGTCTGTATCTGTCTGTCTGTCTGTCTGTCTATCTGCTTGTCTGTTGTCTGTCTGTAGCTGTCTGTCTATCTGGTTGTCTGTATCTGTCTGTCTATCTGGTTGTCTGTCTGTCTGTGATCTCTGGTGTTGGTTTGAATCTTTTGAGACCAATAAATTCATCTGGATAAAGAGTAAATAAGTCATTATGTGATCTAAGGTCAAAATTATCACCCAAAGATGAGTTAACCTTTTTTATTACCAAATGGATAATGTACAATGAAATATCTTCCTATGTAATGAATATATTTACCCTTAACGTCATTTTCCCCTATAATATTAAAATGAATATTAATTGATGAGTATAATTATGTTAGATTAAAAGGGACGCAGGCGGCTCCTAGTATCTAACATATAGGGAAGCCTCTGTGATTACCTACCCCATAATATAATGAGGAGGTTAGGTTAGGTTTGGTTAAGTTAGGTTAGGGTAGGTTTGGTTAGGGTAGGTTCGGTTAGGGTAGGTTAGGTTAGGTTTGGTTAAGTTAGGTTAGGGTAGGTTTGGTTAGGGTAGGTTTGGTTAGGTTCGGTTAGTTTCGGTTAAGTTAGGGTAGGGTAGGTTTGGTGAGTGTAGGTTTGGTTAGGGTAGGTTTGGTTAAGTTAGTGTAGGTTTGGTTAGGGTAGATTTGGTTAGGTTTGGTTAAATTAGGTTAGGTCAGGTTTGGTGTATGTTGTTGTAATGAATTAATGTCACTACAGACGAGCCAATCAACGAACAGGACCATAATTGCAGGTAGTAGGAAGTCTTAAATGCCAGCCTGAGGGGTTCAGCGGCCCCTTGGTGACTAAGGCAGCCACAACATTGAAACATTTATTGTTTTTCAGACAGAACCCAACTACGTGGTGGCCTGGGACATCTTTATTCTACCCTTTACACTACATCATGAACCCTTACAAGATGCCCTGACCCTTATCCATGGCCCTGGCCCAACTTATCACTCTATCCCACACACACACACACACACACACACACACACACACACAGCACTGATAACCAATTAATGCAAATCTCTTTTCCCCAACAGGTATATCTTACTTACTTAATGGTTCTTTGTAGACCAGCCAGAAGCATTGTCTTTAAGGGGTTGTTAGCCTGTCTGTCTGTCTGTCTGTCTGTCTGTCTTTCTTTCTTTCTGGTGGCACAAGAGTCTCAGCCATTTGTGTCGGAAGTCGAGGATTGAATTGTGTTGATATTGTAGTGACTCGCATCTTATTTAGTCACCGTGTGTGTGTGTGTGTGTGTGTGTGTGTGTGGTCTAGAGGGTGAGGGGGGGGGGTAGTACCAGCTACAACAAATCGTAGTCATAGAGCAAGGAAGAATGGAAAATTGACGTGTTTCACCACCACCGCCCAACAGCACGATATCAACCAAGTTAGTACTGTACATTAACTCAACCCAAAAGTTAGTGTGAAATGAGGCGTTTGTCTGACTCACCCTTGACGCATGAATACAACACCAAATCAACAACCAAGAGGACATGGAACCTCCAAAACTGTACCGTAACTTAATGTGTTAATCCGAGTAATAGATCATGATTCTCAGTAGGTCTCTAGGTTATGCCATATTTCGTATGTATTTTCCCTGTATAGACGAGGTGATGGTTGATGAGTCACAAGATGCAAAGTAATATTATAGGATTTTGTTTGATAATATTTTTTTTGCAGTTTGTTTTATTTTATCTTATTTATTTATTCATAGATTTATTCTATTTTATTTTTATTATCTTAATTTGTTCAGTGTTATATATTGTTCACGTTCATATATTATAGATTCGTATTGGAAAATGTTACTCAGAGTGAACCGCGGCGAATCACAGGTGCTCATTATAAGGTGACAGGTGTTCATTATGACACCAGGTAAAACACGGGTCAAAGCATTACCTCCAGGTCGGAGCTACATTCTATACTATGTCATTTTCTCAGATATTTTGAGCTTAAAAGTTCACTGGCCGCTGCTGGTGTCTGTTGGTCTTGGCACCTCACTGTAGCTTATATCGATCAAGGAACAAACCAGGTGGTGGTCTGGGTGATGGGATGTGTTACCTGTCACACATTATTGTCGTAGTAATAGTACCGTACGTGTGTCTGGGAGAACAGTGATATGTTTAGGGTGTGTAGGTGTGTCTGTCTGTCTGTCTGTCTGTCTGTCTGATATATGTTTTTTTCTTGCAGGATGAACGAGGCCTGGCGCTGTGGACGACGGACACACTTGACCTCAGTAGAACAGCGCCCTCTGACTTAGGTTGGTATCAGGTCAACCCAGGTCACATTATGGGGGGAGATTGACCTTAATTTACACCCATTCGCACCCCCCACTCCCCACCTCCCACTCCCTCTCTCCTTGAATGGGTAGGAGAGGGGGGAGGGATGGGGATAGAGGCAGCATGACTAGTTGGTGTCGTCCTAGTGGTGGTGGTGTTCATCCTAGACTAATTTATAAAACTAATCTTGATGTTCCTAAAGACTTAAATACCTAAAGATATCAAACGTAGGCTGGAACGAACTTTAACGTGTCCACATTTCGTTACTTTTAAACTTTTCTGCTACACGGCGAAGTTTATCATCAAAGTATATAGAACACAGTATAACTCATGCAATTTTCATATTAATCACCGCTGCCTTGCGTCATGTACGAGGGATGAGCAACAAATAATTATGCAAGGACGTTAGTTTGGGAATTAGTTCATTAAATATTTTATGTAATGTTAGTCGTATTTTTATGTATTCGCTAAACTGACTCCAGTTTCTTTTTCCCTCATTGGCTGTATACATTTACAGTTAGCCAATCAGAGTACCGTCTTCATTTCTGAGGAGTGGCGACCATAGTTCTCCACTCTTTCATTTACAAAACAAAGTTATACATACATACATACATACATACATACATACATACATACATACATACATACCCGTGTCTTTACCATTACTCACTGGACATAAATCTACAGTATATGTTCCCAATCCTATCATCTAATTAACATATCCTAACAACACACCCAGGTAGTTTAAAGAAATAATTCAGTCTGGTGATAAACTGTTTGGCTGGTGACCTTAGTGGTGGGGTGACGTGGAGGTTACTACGTCGTTCCAGCCTATACTTGACATATAATTGTTTTCTATTATTATTAACCAGCACATTTTATCATCTCTGTGTTCGAGGTCGAGGCTTTGTGGTTGTGTATGGGTGTTAGTCTTGGCCTTGTAGATTTCTTTCTGATTATATTTTCTTTAGTATAATATAGTATATGCTGTAGTGAACATATGTGGTTCAGTTGAGTTTTCCCGGTTAGTGGTGTTGATATTAATAAGGTTAATATTGACGACTAACCCGCCGATGCGTTATTTGTTTTAATTTTGACTTTTACTGTATAATCTATTAACTTCCTCGAGAGTGTCAAATGATCTTTATAATTACTAAGAGCAGAATAAGACGTAGTGTTGAGGTGTTCATGTATCAAAGAAAACGTGTAAGATTTAGCAGGTGGACTCGTCTGTGGTGTACAAGTATATCAAAGAAAACGGTTGTGATCGCGTCAGGTAATTGCTTTTCCGGGTAAACTAAGCTTTTTCCTTGGTTAGTGAGACGCTGTTGGTAGTCCTGGTTTTCTTTGGGCAGGTTTTGTTACATTATTCATATACAGTGAATAAAAGGTTAGTGACCCCTGTTTAATAGATGGCTTAAAGGTCTACCATTGTCTCTCTCTGAGCTTCAAGTGTACTGCCGGTTGTCAATCGTACTTTAATGTCAGGATATTTGTCGGTAACATTTTTCTTCAGGTCATATTACGGTAACTCTTTATACATTGTGGGTTTAATATGTAAGGTTATTGTGCACAAACTTCACACACACACAGTTGGTTTATTTTACAACCTGACGAATTTATGTACCACTCGGCTTCTCAATGTTTGTTTGTATGTAATGAGAGGATAACACAATTTTTTTTTATATAATTAATTTCATTATTTTGTATAATTATTACCGTGTTGGGTCTTGTTCACCCATCACCACCCAAACACATGAGGAGTAGTTATGAAAATATTAGTGAATTGTAACTTTTTAATAGTCATATGTTAGTTGGTGTTTGTTGTGAGTGACGACGTGTAGTAGTTACTGTTTTATTAACTCTGTTCCTCCCATATCATCAGCCATTTTTTGTCTCTATCCTGTTATAACTCTGCTCTAGAATAGATCATTGGCTTATTAATTCAACTCTTCCCACTTCAGGCGTCATTAAAAAAATCATTGCAATATGTAGCTCTGTGTTCGTTACCAGATGTTATGTGAGTCACGCTGCCACCTCCGTAAATATATGGTTGAGTTTAGTTTTTCATTGTTTAATACAATTTTTACTCGAAGATAAAACTAAACACTAAAAAAAAACATCGTGAATTTGAGTGTGTTGGTGCGACTCACTTAACACTTATCAACTAATCCACTTAAGGGATTGTAAGTATTAAGGTGGCCAGGTATGGGTAGAGGCGAGGTGTATAAGTGTATATAAACTAATATCTGTAGTATAGTGTTCAGGCTGATGCTTCTCTACGTTCGCCAGGTTGAACCATTGTGTGTGGCTCTTGTGCTTATAGTGAGGTCCTGGTGATGAAGGCCTCTTAATAACATCTGTCCAGCCAAACACCTGTGCAGGATGTTGGCTATAAAGTTCCTACAGATGCCTAGCTTACCCGGGGGACTTAATCGGAATTTTTTTTGAAAATTAACTAGTTAAATTTGAGTTAATTGCCCCATGCCTGGTAATTAGTATTAAAAAATGTCATTAGAATCTTCCAAGCGTCATTACGACCACTGATTATCCCGCAGTCGACTTATGGACCATATATTTGGAATCGACAAAATATTTAGCCTTACATCTTAGTAATTTGGGCCCCAAAATATACTTTTTTCTCGGAATTGGAATTTAAGGTGTTTAACTAATTAAGTACTTCTATAATAACACAGTAACACCAAACAATCACCACGGAAACCCACAGTTGGTGAGTAATTAGCTGGCATGATGTTAATTAACTGGTTAACTTTTTAAACATTGGTTAATGTAACCATTCGAAATTTTTCCAAATTTATCGATTAACTCCTATTAATTATCGAATGACTCTTGAGAAAAATACCAAATATGGACCATAAAACACACGGACCAGTGAGTGAGCATCCATCCCCTTGGCTTTCCTGTACAGTACACGTTCGTACTCGTAGCTAACAGGCATGGGGCAATTAATTAACTTTTAAAACGCTGGTTAACTTAATCGAGAAAATCATAAAAATTAAATTAACTAGTTAAATTTCAAAGTTAATTGCCCCGTGCCTGGTCACTACACACCCTTACCTCAGTAGACTGACCTGACCTCAGTGGGTGGCCTAGTGCATGATTGCATGAACCTCTCCTCCGGCAGGCGGCTATCGTGGGGTGTACCTGGGCAAACTGCGGCAGGGCTCCTCATACACCCGCGGCATCAACGTCGATAAAGGTGAGTGAGTGGAGTGGGGTGTGGGTACGTCGTTGGTAAATGGATAAATCCACATTTTTCTGACAATAACACTCGCTGAAATACCTCCCTCATCATGGCGTCTGCTAGTATTCCTTATAATTGTCGTGGTTAAGTTTAATTCAAATATCAGGTAAGATTAACATTGGTTGATAGTCAGGCAGCAGAGGGGGACGTCGGAGGTAATACTAACAGACCAGAAGACGAGTCAGTGAAGGTCATACGTTAGCTACGTCAGAATCACACTAGGCGGGGTACACTGATGGGTGGGCGGTAGTGGATGAGATTAACCCGGTGGATGTGGGTCTTACATTATAACAGATTCAGGTCTCTTAATTTGGAGAATTACAACACCAATTATGTCTCTTGTCATTACAGGAACTGAAAGGTTAATATATTTTTTCCATAGTTCAACAGTGGCTTGAAGAGTATAATATATTAGTTTGACAGCCAAGCCTGGAATCAATTAGCATTGCCGCTCTCAGCTTGTTCCAGTAGACGCTTGTGGTGACCCCTATTAAACACAACGAAGGAATAACCAAATTACCTGCTTTATAGTTAACTGTATAAATAAAAACGCCTTTACTATTAAAATCTTTGTATTATACTGTAATATATATTAACAATGTATCTACAGTGCCAGAACAAACGCCACACACACACACACACACACACACACACACACACACACAGACACACACACACACACACACACACACACACACACCACATTTAGTCCAGGATCACGTCTCATTATTCACGGTAATTTTGCTTACAGGTTATTTCGCCGCTGCCTAACAAGTACGGCGGCGGTAATGGACTGCAGCGTTTCGGGGAGAGACCTGCGCAGTCGCCTTCACTACACCGCAGGATCAACGCCCTGGCCCCCCTAGACCAAGGTGAGGACCAACGTGTGTTCATAACCCCATATTGTGGCACATACTACCACAAGGAGCAATAAGGATATGACTCCCAATATTTTCTGTAGATTTTGAAGAAATTTAAGCCACACAAGCTCCTGACACTAGCATTTGTTTACTTCTAATCTGAGTCATAGTTTAAAATGGTAAAGGCAAGGAATTTTGATTATTATATGATTACTAAGATTTTTTTTAATATCAAGGGGCGGGGAGTGGGAGTGGTTGGGGAGGGGGGAGGGGTTTGTTCCTTCGACTTTAGCCCCTCCCAGAAAACCCCACTCCACCCCACCCCATCCCACCCCACCCCACCCTACAGTGAGTAAATATAGTTTCAACTTTGACCTTTACTTTTCCTTCAATTGTGTTCTCTGATATGTCTAATTGGCATAACACTTTCTTGGACCTAATAGCTAGTAACAGCCATATACAATTATCAATACTATCATAACAAAAAAATACCTGTTGATATTATTTGAATATTTTAACTCAATTTAATCTTGGAAATAATTTAGGTTATCAAAACACAACGTATATATGAAGGATAATTTTTATTTATGACTTGGGAATATTGTTTGGTCTTGGGTGGTCGAGTGTATTACTGGTGACCTTCCCTGTGTAAGAGTTTTCCCTCAGTGGTAGGTAACAGATGTTCCTTGGTACAAAGTAAATGTTGCTTCCTTCCCTGTAACACTAGAATTATTGGATACCTTAATTGTAACACCGATTTTTAGATATAATTTAGGAATTATCTGTATGTAATAATGTAACAGAATATAACGATAATTGATCAGTTGTAAATGTTACTTGAACTTATCCAACCTAACGTAATCCATTTGTGTTTGTCACGTTTATTTAATGTCATTTTTATTACATTTAAAGCCATTACATTATGAAAGTTGAGGTTAATAAGTGTCATATGTAAGGTTGGTTTTAAACTACAGTGAGATTATATGTGTGTGAGGTAAGGTACGCTTCCTGGTCGTCACAAGGAGAGGTCGATGGCGTCAGAAATGTGTGTGTACAAGTCTTCATCCTTTTAACTAATGGTATAGTAATGGGTGGTGAGTCTGGTGGGCTTGATTCTCCCTACTAACATGTACTCAAGGCTTTGTTATTGTACTCAAGGCTCTGTTATTGTACTCAAGGCTCTGTTATTGTACTCAAGGCTCTGTTATTGTATTCAAGGCTTTGTTATTGTACTCAAGGCTCTGTTATTGTACTCAAGGCTCTGTTATTGTACTCAAGACTCTGTTATTGTACTCAAGGCTCTGTTATTGTACTCAGGCTCTTATTATACTCAAGGCTCTGTTATCGTCCTCAAGGCTCTGTTATTATACTCAAGGCTCTGTTGTACTCAAGACTGTTATTGTACTCAAGACTTATTATACTCAAGGCTCTGTTGTACTCAAGACTGTTATTGTACTCAAGACTTATTATACTCAAGGCTCTGTTGTACTCAAGGGTTTGTTATTGAACGCCACGTTGTCCAGTCTTCTCTAGAATATTATCACCTTTGGAGAGTTAATATGATATTCCTGATGCTGGATTTTAGTTCGGTACTGTATAGTTTGTTGTCCATTTAATGCACTACATCAGGCACACTGTAGTGGTTATCGTTGGTATGTTATCAAGTCCGTTATTTGCCATATAGTGTATTGCCAGATACAGTGTATGTTTCTCCTCAAGCCAAGATAGTTTAGGTTGTCTTTAGACTTTTATAGCGTTTCTTACTTAAAATGAGCTATAGTTTGTTTAGAAAAATCATTTAAAACTTTAATTCTTATATTCCAGTTGTCATTTGCCTGTGATGTTCCCTAACGCATCCTGAGACGAGATGTGATTTTCATTAGTCATTTATTCACCATGCGAGAAATAACGTTTTGTATCATGGAAAGTTAGTTAGTTATTATTATATTGGTCACTGTCGCACCATATTAGCATTCTCTGGCTGATGTGCAGGTGATAACTTGGTGACGGTGTCGAGGGCAGGATCTCGTAGCGTCATCCCTCCATTGTCGGCAGTGTCCAGACGCTCAGCCATAACCACCAGTAAGCAGGATTCACAGTCGGATCCTGACGATGAGTTGGATGAGGAGGAGAAGTCGGAGGGATATTATTATGAGGAGAATGAAGACGAGGAGGAAGAGATAGAAGAGGAAGAAGTGGAGGAGGAGGTGCTGGCAGAGGACGACACCGTTTCTCGCCCCAAGAGTTCAGCTACCACGCGGGATAGTGGTATCTCCGTTTTCTCTGCCTCCAATGACGGCGACGACTTCACAGAGAACGGAAAGGTAAACTAAACCATTTTTGTGTTCTGAACTTAACGACATTTTTAACCTAACAATCCCAGAGTTAGATTAGGGTGAATATTTATAAAACTTTTATCTCCTTGCTGGATCGAGAAGCCAAGATTAGGATAAGTTTGGTTCGTATTAAATGAAAAATAAACAGTTTAATTGCATCATAGTGAAGGGGAAACTTTACACTGACCTTCTGGAGAAATAAACCAAAGATTTAAAAATTTTAGATGGAAACAAAAATTACTTATGCATTATTTTTGACCAGGATGAGGCGAAACTCTCAGCGAAGAGCATGAGGGACGCCCATAGGCTCGTGCAGGCCAAGGGCTCCACCTCCTTCGTCGACGACCACGGGTGAGTTCTGTACCCCAACCTTATCTTGTTTGTTCATTTTGTCCTCTTATTTTATCGTGTTTCCACCTTCACAAGTCTTTCCCCAGATGACTGTAAGTATCGATGGTCTGTAAATCCTTGAAATAACCTGGAATTTGGAATCATAAATAGTGTTTGGTTCCCGAACAATTATTGTATATGTTAAACGTCAGTGTGTGTGGAAGATCGTTTTGAATTTTAGAGGACTCAAGATACACAGCGCCACCGTGATTGTTATATTAAACCTGTGTATATTAAGGTAGCAGTTCTCGGAGTGTCTGGCAGCTACACTCCTAATGGTTGTAGTAAAAGTATGATTATATGGAATTACACATTAACCTTACTTGACGCTTCACTTGTTGTTATTAATTGGTGTATTTACCTGTGTGTGAGCACCTCAGCACCTTCCTCAGTCAATAGATCAAGCTTTACTACCTAGTTTCACGGGGGACTGTTTTTCCTAATCCGGGGATGAGAGATCGCGTTCAAGTTCGACGGAGTTTTAGGTTCTCCACATATATGTACCGTAGCATTAGGGGGCCAGATTGATGCTTTCTCATATCAATGTTACGTGGGTGTGAATGACGTGTTGGTGTGGCATATACGTCGACGGTGCCATAGACACATCGTTGTGTTGTCTCAAGTACTGTACTACTGAATTCCAATTAATATTTAAAGGCACAATATGACCGTACACATAGCAGTCCGAGGTGAACGATAAACGGCGGGGAGGCACGAACAAATTGGGGTTTACGCTTGCAAAATAGAGCAGTGCAGCCCGAACCTTGTTGACCAATCGCGTACTCCAACTCGCTTGACGTCATATAAACAAATGACGTCAGCCGGCCTGGTTAGCAGAACAGTGGTAGATCGGCACCGTCCTATACTGCCGGTGTGGACTCTTTAACAACACCATGTGAAGCACACTATATAACCACACATATACTGTACAGCGTTCTGACTTAAATTGGGACAAACTTGTGTATGAACATAATAACAAATAATGAACAGTGGTGTTAAACTCAACTTTGATATGATATAACCGATCTATCACATGTTCTCAGAAGTTCGGTAAACAATAGTTCTATATACTGTATATAATATTGTCATTATTGTCCAGAGTTACGACCCGTCACACTGCTCCGCCGCCGTCACTTATAGCGGCAAACACTTAGTTCTTATTAAACTTTGATATGAGTTATTCGTTGAACATGTTCGTATCGTTTTGCTTGTCGTTAAGTAAGTTTATTAATTTGGTCTACTAGCTCATCATCTGGCTGGGTGACCTCGTATGGTTATTTGCTGTCGAGCAGAAATCCCGTGAACCGAATTATTTCCTTTACTATAAGGTCAAGGTCAGGTGTAAGGTCAATAAGTGGACGGCTACTGGATACCTTCATCTGCTGAGTTAGGCCACTGGTTAACCTGAGGACATTTTCTAGCCGTACTCACACGCACATCTACACTATGTTCTCCACGCTCCTCCACTAATTCACTCACACACACGCGTTCTCTCTCTCTCTCTCTCTCTCTCTCTCTCTCGTTTATCTTCATTAGTGTCTTACGCCAGTTTTACAAGTTGTGTGGCGTTGAGGTCATGTATACATTTATCAACACAAATTGGAATGGTTCTCTTGTTAGTGCGAATCCAGGCAGTTTGCAAGTGAGTCGACGCCTTTAATATTGCAATAATTTACGTTAAAAGGAAAATAGAATTAAAAGAAGGAAATATATCGATGGAGAAGGGGTGAGGTGTAGAAGGGATGAGGTGCAGGAGGGGTGAGGTGTAGGAGGGGTGAGGTGTAGGAGGGGTGAGGTGGGGAGGGAGGTGTTGGAGGGGTGAGGTTGGAGGGGTGAGGTGTAGGGAGGGGGGAGGCAGGGGAGTGAGGTGTTGGAGGGGTGAGGCAGGAGGGGTGAGGTGTAGGGAGGGGTGAGGCAGGGGGAGGGAGGTGTTGGAGGGGTGAGGTGCAGGAGGGGTGAGGTGGGAGGGTGAGGCAGGGAGAGGAGGGGTGAGGCAGGGGGGGGTGAGGTGTAGGAGGGGTGGGGTGCAGGGGGGTGAGGTGTAGGAGGGGTGAGGTGCAGGAGGGGTAGGGGAGGTAGGGCGGGAGGTGGGGAGGGGTGAGGTGCAGGGCGGGTGAGGTGTTGGAGGAGTGAGGCAGGAGGGGTGAGGTAGGAGGGTGAGGTGCAGGGGAGTGAGGTGGTGAGGGGTGAGGTGCAGGAGTGAGGTGTAGGAGGGGTGAGGTGCAGGGGGGTGGGAGGTGTTGGAGGAGTGAGGTGCAGGAGGGGTGAGGTGTTGGAGGGGTGAGGTGCAGGGGGGGAGGTGTTGGAGGGGAGGCAGGAGGGGGAGGCAGGAGGGGTGAGGCAGGGGGGTGAGGTGTTGGAGGAGGAGGTGCAGGAGGGGTGAGGTGTTGGAGGTGAGGCAGGGGGGGTGAGGTTGGAGGGGTGAGGCAGGAGGGTGGAGGTGCAGGAGGGGTGAGGTGCAAGGTGAGGGGAGGAAGAGGCGCATGGCGTGAACAGGTCGGCATCAGTGTCTTAGCAACCATCATAACAGACTTTGCCACCAGCCAACCCCACCGTATTTCCCCACCACGACTACTAACCCCTTTCCACACACACACATACACACATTTCCATTAACCTAACTTTATCTCCTACATCAACCTGTCTTATGCGTTGGTGTGCGAAGCTATCAAGTCTGTTCGTCTGTTTGTCTGTCAATATTATCAATGGGTTAACTAATACCCACGTGACTTTTCAGTGCCACCGACGGAGGCTCTTATAGTTAGTTACGATACACTTAAGTAGGTCATACCTCTGAGTCATCAACCATTCGTACGATCAATATTTCCCCCCCTAATTAGAGGTGAGAAAATGCCCATAGTCTCGTAAGATGTTTTTCCCTTAAGTACATCATAATATATCCTTTTACGTCAGAAATTCAACGTAAATACATCAGATAATGGAGTTTGTGGGGAAGAAATAGGAGATAGACGATAATAGTAAAAACGTGTTAGATAAAGAGGCCGAAGACATGTAAACAATGAGGGGACGAGCTGGTGAGGAGTGTTGCAGGTGAGGAGTGTTGCAGGTGAGGAGTGTTGCAGGTGAGGAGTGTTGCAGGTGAGGAGTGTTGCAGGTGAGGAGTGTTGCAGGTGAGAGGAGAATGAGGGACTGAACTCGGGAGGAAATGTTGCAAGTATAAATAAACACTGTTGCTAGCATGAATAGGGTAACTGTAGAGTCAAAATGTTGTATGTGTAGAAGGAAGTGCTGAAACTATTGCTAATTGAATTTATCTGTATAGGGTAGAGTCGAAGTGTGATTTTGAAGTTGTTAGTTTTAGGTGTGTGTGTGTGTGTGTGTGTGTGTGTGTGTGTGTGTGTGTGTGTGTGTGTGTGTGTGTGTGTGTGTTTTCCCTATGAAGAGATTAAACATTTCAGACAGCCTTGAACACCCTAACCTAACGATCTTGGTCTGTGTTGTAGGTATTAGGCTACAGCTCTCACACCACCTGCGTATTATGAACCAAATCGGGGCTCGTGCGTGTGAAGGCTTCTTATTACGTATACAGACTATGCTTACCTATACCTGGCTCAGTTAAAATAAGGTTGAACCCTGTCCTCGGGGTGTTATCTGGTCTCCCGGACTATCGAATTTTATGACCAATATCCAAAACCTGTCAAGCTAGCATACAAATTATACCAAGGCTGAAATAAATTACTGTCTGGTAATAAATATCAATTGTCTCTCACTTGAATGTCTCACCTGGGGGGTAGAGGAGAGATAAATCTTCTCTTGTCTCGGAATGTTAGGCATACAGTCGACGGTGTAAACACGAACCGAACACAAGTAAAATGTTATACAGTTTCACGAAAGATAAGTCCTGACGGTGTATTTTGGCGGGTGTATGTATGTGTGTTGACACCCCCCTCACTACTCCCTCATTGTTCTCCTCTCCTCAGAATCATTATCTCCCTTGTGTGTCTCCGCTGACTGTCACATCAATTTCTTGTTAAGAGTGTGACCTAACCAAACCAGTCTAGTATAGCGTGTCCTGTTCATCTAGGTCCTATTTTACAGTGTTATCTCCTATCATCACCTCACTGTCTCACCAGGTAATACTAGGAATACAGGTTAATTACAGGTATTCAAGTTCTTTTTTAATGTTACTTCGATGACATCTAGTGCAGGAGATTGACTGAGTTCAGGTACAGTATTGTGTTTATGTTAGTGACGTCATGATACCAGCTGGTCCGTGTGAGTGTTGCCATAAGGTGGTCATTGGTGGAGTTGGTACTTGTTCATTGGTGTTCCTTTAGTACACTAACTAAAGAGACCTTGTGGGGAAGAATTTATGTGTGAGCGTACTGTAGATTAATGGGAATGTAGAGAAATAACACGAATAAGTAACCAGGTATTATTATTATTATTATTATTATTATTATTATTATTGCACTACTTACTGGAAGATCCGTATATTACAAATCAAGAATAAGACCACGGGAAAATAACTTATATAAAGAAATAATCATAAAAACACGAAATCATACAACATACACAATATACAACAGTTGGCAAGAGTAAAAATAATACACTACAATTACTGTATACGAACAAAACACCTCCAGTACAGTATAAAGCGTTGGACTTAATGTTTGGTTAGTGCCACCTGCCAGTACACACCTGCCAGTACACACCTGCCAGTACACACCTGCCAGTACACTACCCTACCCTCCCCTCGTTCCCGAAATAGCATAAGGTAGTTAATCTTAAGGTGAAATAAGCTAGAGTGGTGTTTCTTCAGGTGATCCATGCCGAGAATGATTCATGGTAGTAGTAGTAGTAGTCGTAGCCGTAGTAGTAGTAGTAGTAGTAGTGGAACTTGGCCTTGGCTTTTCACGATGACGACGGTGGAATTCTCTGCAGACGTCTTTATGTGTGTGTGTGAGTCAGGCCCGCCAGCCACCTGTGACAAACGTCCT